GGTCTTCTTTGCCAGGCTAGGGACCAAAACCCTGGGTCTTACAGACAAGTGCCAAGAGCTACTTCCTGGTCTTCCATGCAAGCATCACAAAGACTACTATCATACATTTTACAACTACTTAACTAATTATCTGCCAGAGTTAAGATCCTGGTCTTGCATACAGATTACCAGGAGCCGTCTCCTGGTCTTTCATACAAACGGTCAAGGGTTACCCCCAGGTCTTCCTACAATACATTAACCAAATTGTATGGAATTGGTTCCTTCGACCCATAGAACAGTGAGGAGACTCACCTCGAATGCAGAAGTTCACTAAAAGAAATCCCTAGCTGCTACCCTGACGATTCCTCCGAGCTATCAATACCAAGATAACACCCAATTAGTAATTGGGTTCCAAACTACGATCCATTATCCATACTTGGGGTAAAATTACCATTTTTACCACTAACCCAACTTGAACCAAAACTGAGGCCCAAGTCTAAAAACCAAAAAGGTCAAAACCGAAAGTTCCATAAAGGCCCACTGATGGCCCAATTTTCCAAATTAGGCCCAACCCATGTGGGCCTTAACCTAAAGCCTAAAAATTCCCTTAGTCCAACAATTGATATCAGATGGTCCAAATGGCCCAAAACATCAAAGCCCAAATAAGTAGCCCAAAACTGATATGACACCACAAGGCACAATAAGGTCAAATCAGCAAAACCCATATACAAAGTTAAATCTAAGCCCAAAAACCAAAAACTCCACTGATCAGACGAACGCATGGCATTCGTCGTCGGACAAATTGATGGGGACTCAAGACGAAACGCGTTGCGTTCCTAAGGGCTATGCACGACGTTCAAGGCTAAGTTCAAAATTTTCATTTTAAGGACTTAATCCATTAAGTCCAACATCTAGAACCCTAGAATAGTTCCATGATGGTGACTTAACCCATAAAGTCAAAGGATTTAAGCCTTTGCAAGTCTCAAAAAGGTCCAATCTTGATTTCAAGCACTCAAACTTCACAAAATGACCAATAACTCAAACATGGGGGAACTTAATGCATCAAGACTCCAACTTTATATCAAAACCAACTTAGAAAAGGCAAGATCTACAAATCTTAGGCTCTTGGAGTGACTCAAAGTCACAAAGAGCCCTCAAAGTACCATAACATGCATACTTCAAGCCCTAACTTAGATCTTATGATGTAGAAGCATCAAGTTGAGAACTTTGTACCTTTAGATGCTAGATCTATCTGAATGAAGCTTGGATCCAAAAGCTCCAAGCCAACCAAATACTCGTCAAGAAGCTCCTTCTTCTTCCTTAAGCACTAAAACACACTTAAACCACTATAAAGCTCAAGAATCACTCAAATGGAGGCTAGGGTTTCGTTCTTAGGGTTATAGAGACTGGAGGCTAAAGGAAATGAGGGTTGGAGCTGAGTTAAGGTGATTAAATAGGGTCCAAGACCCTAAATTAGGGTTTTAATCTGGCCTGACGAACACAACGTGTTCCCTTGGGGAACGCAGGGCGTTCCCAAATGCTCTCGCGCCCAAATTCTGTGTACGCCATGCGTACTACCCTTGTACACCATGCGTACCCGGTTTGGCCTAACCCCTTCTAACTTCAAATGGTCAAAACTTCTTCGTTATAACTCCGATTTTGACGTTCTTTATTTCCACAGAAAGGTGGCAAGAAGCCCTACACTTCTAACAACTCACCTTCACCTTAAAACCTCGCGAACAAAACCTAAAATCCATAGAAGCCCTACACTCCGATTTTCATGTTCTTTATACCCTTGACCTCCGAAGACACAATCGAACACTTGGATCACTTAAACCATAACACCCACACCCGAGAAGGGCCAAATTCTTCCTATCCCAAGGCCCTAAGCCTCATGAACACTGAAGATTAGGCTGCAGCCCCGAATAAAGAAGCAAATCTGAAACCGAGTGTTACAACTCTCCCCTACTTAAATTAGATTTCGTCCTCGAAATCGCTCCTTACCAACACTCATATCAAAACGAACAACTTGAGGAATGCAACCAAAAATTTTGCGTATAAAACTACATTCCCAAGACAACCGAACCTGATATTGCCATATTTATACATATTTTAGGCAATATTTATTTATATTTTTATTAATATTTTGGTTATTTGCATAGAATAATGGTACTTATAAGCTTAAATTGTTATTTGCAGCCAAAGAAGAGCATTTTCAAAGAAAGGGACCAGAATTGACAATACTTGGAACATTGGAGACTTTGAGTACAAAAGTTGAAGAGATTCACGGATTTAACCGATGTCACGACGTGAACCAGAAGGACACGATGTCGCATGAGTATTCCAGAAGATAAGTACACACGAAGAAGGAATCCTTGCCCGATACGATAACTCACAAATCACGTCGTGGTGCTTCCTGCCACGACATGAATCACGACTTCCCAGAAAAGTATATATATCCTTGGCCATTACCATTTGAAGGACTTTTGACTGGTTAGAAGGTTTTCAGAAGACGATTTTTAGCAGGTAAAAAGTTATGGAAAGAGGGTTTCAAAGCCATAGGAGTAAAAACTCTTAATAAGTTAATTTGTTTAGTACTTATGAACATGTTTATTAACTTGATTTGTGTTTGTTTGATTGTTGCTATGAGTAGCTGAATCTAGCTACTCTTATTTAGCTAGATGAAGCTTATGACATATGGTTTAGTTTAATTTATCATGGATTTGTTAGTTGGTAATTTGCTTGTGTTCGATTTGTTACTACCTAGTATGTTAATATTTGTTTCTTTAGTTGCTTGAATTCATGTTCTGTGTAATTAGTGATCATTAAACTGCATGAACTTGTTAACCTAGTGATTTAGTGAACACTAAATTGCTAGAGCTAGGATCGACCAAAATCTTAGATAGTAATTAACGTAAATAAATTTATTTGTGCTAGAGAACATAAATTATGACCATAATTGTGTTTGCATAATAAATCTTACATAGCATATCCATAATATATAATTGGTTATGTGTTTAATTGTGTGTGACCATGCATAGTTTTACATGAATTAGTCAAATATTAGTAAATGTGGACTTAAATTGCTAATAATATAATATTTGGTGACCAACTTGATAATCCATAATTGTTAACTAACCATAAAAAAGAAGTGGATTCGAACTAAACATGAGTGTTTTTAGTAATTGATTGAATTTAAGTAAAGTTCGTCTAATCTTGTAAAATCAGATAAAACCCTTTTAAGTTGTTAATAATTAGGTTAATTTAGTAGTAAGTAGATTAATCAATTAACACTGTTCCCTGTGTTCGACACCCGACTTACCCAACTATTTTATAATTCGACTAGGTACACTGCCTAGGTGCATTTTAGTTAGTTAAGTTATTTAGGTTATGAATATTAAATTAGGTGTAGCTTATTGCACACATCAGAACCCAAACCGAAACTTCCATCCCGAAGAAAAAAAAACACTGAGCCCCCGAAGGAAACCACTTCTACCCTTTCCGAAACCTAGAATCTACATTGATCTGACTCTCCGACGGACCGCCCACGCTGAAACAACTCCATGCCAAATTCTCAACGAATAACATACCAAACATAACACTTCCAACCCTGATCATCTCGATGCTATCAACAGAATAAACTCACTGACCATAAGCAGATGCAGAACGCTCATACTTAACAGATGGCTCAGATAATCATTCAAGTAGAAGATCCATCATAAAGAGTTCTTTTAAAAAATAACTATTTGTTTATTATTTATAATTTATTAAAATTAACATAAACCCATATTATTTTTCATTTGTTTTATGAAGTTAGTAAAGCAATATCTCTTTTTCATCGTCTTCCCCATGCCACTGTCATCTGCAAATATCTCCGAGCAAAAAAAAAATACCCGACCCCACAATAAAATAAATAAATAAATAAACCCAAAGATTTGGATAATAACATTGTCAGCGGCTCAACTAACCATGGATTGACTTGCTTCAAGTGTTGCAACAATTATGGGTTATCTCAAGCGACCTTCAGCATACTATACTAACAAAAATAATGCTAAGAATTCGAGAAAAATTAACGGGAATAACAAAATCAAGAAACTTATGGCAAATTTATGTTTAGAGAATGCAACCAACTCACCACCATGATATAGAGATGAAGTTCTTGGAATTATTGAGAAACTCTCCGCTATTTTCCTTGTTGCTCTCCTGATTCCAACACAAACTTCACTGTTATTGACTGGTTGTGGTCGGAGTTGGTGTCTCCGCCGCATAATCCAACTTAAGGAAAATAATCTCAACATCATCATTGTCTTCATATTCACCATTGTTTTGATTTCTCAAATACAAAAGACCCAATCTTATCATAAACTTCATGAATGTCAGAATCCGCCATGAACTTGATGGTTGATAGTGGAGAAATGGAATGGTAGTGGATGACGCATAAATCAAACGGTGGTGGATGGGAGGTGTTGACCGGCAAGGACAACGATCTAATTACGACAATAATAGTCAAGTAAAGGAGGGTGCCAAACTTAGTGTTAAGTAATTTAGGGTTTGTATTAGAGAAGAGAGGGATGAAGAGATAATACTTATATTGTTTAGTTTAGGTGGAGATGTTTGATGGCAGGCTTACTTTATTTTTTTTATTTAAAAAATATTAAATAAATAATAAAAATTAAAAAAATAAATTATTAAGGGCAAAAAAATGTTTGAAGGGGACCAAAGAAGCAACTAAACCATACTATAGGGACTATCCGGCTTTAAAAAAAAAATAGTTAGAAACCAAACAAACAGATTACCCCAAACCATATAGACCATTCATATATTTTATTTAATTTTCAAGGCATTTAACTTGATTTGTGATAATATGTTACAGGGTAAATTGCATAGATAGAAAACAACTTTGACCGTTGTTTTTTGTTAAGAAATGGTAACATACTTTATTTTTACTTTTAATTTTTTTTACTTTAGAAAATCTTACGCTTACTTAATTTGTTGTGATTTAACTACATGGTTTACTAACTGGAGATATAATAGAACTTTATATGGTAAAGCATCAAAGTCATTACACAATCTAATCCTATCAAATCGTCTCTTGCGTCTACTTCATTAATACAATCAATAACCAAAAAAAAATTAACCCATGAAAAAGTTACAAATAGACTCCTTAATTTTGTTGGATGTCACAAACATGATGAATGTAGCTCATGCTTTAGATTCCAATGCCAAGAGGATCTTCTTTCTTGGACCCTACATAAATTCAACCATTTGTTACACAACAGATTGCACTGTGTTTGGTATGAACAGAGAACTCATGTCCATGAGACAAAAAGGATCCAAAATAAACAAAGATACTAGAGGTATTATATATGCTGCATGAAATTACTCATTAGAATGTAAACATACCATTGGTATTCCCATAGCCTTTAGATCTTCATCAGTCATGTGTAGAAGAGCTGTCATATCAACCTGAAATCCACAACATATGTCACCTCCTTACAAGTTCTAAAAAACAATATACAAGAAAAGATTATTATTTAATATAACAAATTCCATACTTCCTCTGCTTGAAATGTAATAGAATACTTTTCAAGACCCAATGCCTGCAAGAAGCTATCCACTGTTTCAGTCTGCACAAGTTAAAAACCAGCATTACTATATAAAAAAACAATCAAAGAACATGTAGATTTATCAAATAGGTGAAACCTTTAAGAGAACTAAAAAACTTTCTTAATACAAACATAAGAAGTTTAGTAGTCAATAATAATAATAATAATATACCTTTTTTCTCTTAGATGCATTAGTAGAAACTTTTTTAGTCTCTGTTACATTGGCATCAGCTACAACACTTCTCCTAGCAGGTTTACTGGTGGTCTCTGGGACTGGTTTTGGCTTTGCTGCAGGCTGTGAATAACTTACACCAGATAACTTTTCACGCAGATCTCTTACACCACCTGACAAAGAACCCTTTGCACCAAGAGTTGCTCTTTGATTACTCTTTTTCTGGAGCTTCAAACGGAGGTCAAGAGCACCAACACTTCGATCTATGAATGCCATAAAACATATATGAGTAAATCTGTAAATCTGTAAAAGTTAGCATATCATTATGGAACCAAGAAAGAGTAATCAGATTCATACTTGATACTTGTGGATCAGGTTGTTCGTAAAGATCATGCTGCCATTTGTCATCATCCTGCCTCTGCCTGCAGCAAGAAAGTCATTGGCTCAGGTAAAATAAACTTTTTTCCTCATAATCTCCATATAAGATCCCAAAACTCTATACAAACATGACAAGTGAATAGTGATGAAATAAAATATTGGAGTTGGCTCTGTCTTCTGAGGCTAAAGGGTAACATTCTTCTGCTTCTTTCAATCTATGTCCAAAATTGCTACATGCCCCCAACAATTAACATTCCAACCATGACCCTAGTAAGTAGTAACACAGATTATCAGACACGTGAGTATCAAATTTAGGTCTTTTCTGGAAGCTGATAGGGATCTTTCAGAAGTTTATTACTTTGAAATCTATGTAATTCCTTTTTGATGGTATTACAACAAATCTAGCAACGAACCAGGTCCTTCAACTTACTACAACTAACCTATGCTCAACTGTGATCTTTAACTATAATAAAACCAAAGTATCTTCAATTAAGCAGTACCGCTATACCAATTTTTCAAATTAAGAATCAACCAAAAGAAAAAATCAAGCAAAAACACATGACCTGTATCCAGTATATCAGCAAAAACGCGTATGTGTTTACATGAGGAGCGAGAATTAGAGAGAGTGAAAAAAACGAACCTCTTGCCAGTGACTTGCCTACGGCGACCGGGATTTTCTAGGGCTCCGCCGTTAAGACGGTCTTTAATAGAACTCCTTGACGCAGTCTCTACCCGATCAGCATACATTCTCAATACAATTACACGGAATCGTATCTAGGAGAACAATTTATGATAAAACCCTAACCCTAAAGCCCCCTTGCGAATGTGTTGCTTTCAGTAGATTGGAAAGAAACCCGAACACAGGTCGAAAATTGGGGGAAGGGAGAGGGAGGGTGAATCGGGGAGAAAATCGAATAGAAAAGAAACCACAATCGGGTAGGCATTTATTATATTCGGACTTTGTAGCTAATCGGGTCGCTCTTATTTTATTTTATTTTATTTTATTTTATTGGACTAGAAGGAGTGGGGCAAAATAAGATAGAAAGAATATACCATCAAAGGTAACGAGTGGTGCATCCAAAAAAATATATTATTTTGAATGGGTTTTATTTTGGAAAAAAAAGAAAACCAGAAAAAAGTTTCACCAATCAAAGCCCTTAAAGAACCACAATCATTCTCTCACTCATCTCATTCTACCCATAACAAGTTCATCCTAACGAGTTGCATGGTGAACATTGAGGGGTGGTGTAACATTTCATAGCGAGGCTGTTAACGAGAGGGGATGGCGAGGTTATTCTTAAAGCCTTAAGGGTTTCATAATTTGGTCGAATTATAATCCACTTTATATATATATATATATATATATATATATATATATATATATATATATATATATATATATATATATATATATATATATCATTACTATATATGAAAACCCTATTTATATCAAAGCGCGTACGGCGCGTGTAGCGGTCTTCAAGGAGTACATCTGACCGGTAGAAGAAGTCGGTTCCACCATCATACCCGCTCTCTCCTTCCGGGGTGTCGATTCAAAACATGTGTCACACTGCTTACCTCTTCCATCATGTTTAGAACACCGATTTCCATCTTTTGCAAAACCCATGTAACCTTGGAATCGACACCAATGTTCCTATTCTCCCACCCAATATTCCTTCACTGGTGCCTTCAAATTCGTTTCTTTCTCTGTTCTTTCATGAAACCTTTGATCTCTCTCACCAGTCACCACCAGCATCCGCCAGTACCGTCACCAAATTTCCCATCTTCTCTTTTTCTTTCCCGTTTCACCAAATCGCCAACCAGAGAGATGATGTTGAAGATCTAACACCCTCAATTCAACATCTCTGCTATCTTTCAAATTAGAAGTTAAATTATAAGGTATGTGTTTGGTAAATTTCGATTCTCATATTTAACAAAACGCAAATCTGTCACTAATTCGGGAAATTCAATAGATTTGGCAATTACCATCCAGGGTTTTAATCCCTTTTGTTCCCATTCAATTTGTTTTTTGTTACAAGCTTCTGAATGACATATATATTTAAAATTGTATATTTTGTTAATTTCTTTCATTTTTTTTAAAGTAGGTATTAATTCAGTTGATGAATTCCATATGAACAAAGAAATGATATTGGGCATGTCTGGTTGAACGATCTTACTGATATTGTTTGTGTTGATTTGTACCATGTGGATTAACAAGCCCAAATTGTTGTTGCTAATGATTCATCATAAAAGTTGAGTTAATGGTGAAATAATTATGAATTGGTGTTTGGAATAATGTTTGTGAGGAGATTAATGTTTGGCTTCAAGAATCCAATCATATTGCCCTTCTTTTTTCAAGGTATGTCCAAGATAGGAGAATCTTATTTTTAAGGCTCATTTGGTTCTCTTTAGAATCTAATTTTCTTTTCTATCTGAGGTAACTATAATAAGCATATCCATAGATCGGAAGCTCCTTGATTTGCAAGTTATTTACAAGAAAAGGTACACATTCACTAAATCTTCATAGCAACTAATACTTCGTTTTATTATTGTAGTGCCTATGATTTTCTTCTTGCTTTCTTTTTGTTTCTGATATATCCTAAGTTTAAGTTCCTTACTTTGATATGAATCTTAAATATGATAGGGACAATCCACGGAAGACAACCTAGCAACAATTAGCTATATTATAACTTTGGCTCTGTTAATTTTACAGTTAGCTATAGCTTTCTAATAACAACTTTGTTTCAGATTCATGTGTTGGACTTAATATTTAAGCAGCTAACTTTCAAAATCATCATGACCCTTTTCTTATAGGAAAAAAAAGGGAACTATTTTGCAATAACACATGAGTTTTTCGTATGTATATGTTTATAAATGCCATTAAAAACCATTAATTATTGTACAGCTTAAATGCATTTTTCTTCAAAAAGGTTACCAACGATATAATATTTCTCAGGTAACATAACAAAATAGTTAATCAAATTATAATACAGTTTGCTCCAAATGGATGGTTGATTTAATTGTTTTTTATTTTTCATGTATGCAAATGTATTAGATGCTCGGGATAAGCTTTGGGAAATTGCTATTAGGATGGAGATTGAGATTCCTGTGGGTATGGGCCACCAATTTGATATTGCCAAAGAATGTATCATGTCATTTTATATCTGCATTTGTAAACTTAAGATATGCAACAGTGAAAACCAAAATAAAAAGTAGTCAAACTCTATTCAATGATCACCGGAACTTAAATTGTAGTTTTAGCATGCTTATGAGAAATTTATCAATTTTGGTAGCGTATGTACAAACAATAGAAACATAGTTTTATTTATTTGTTTATTATAGTGCCCTAGATACATTTCGTATTTACCTGCTTCAATTATACTCTATAGCTGTGGACATTCATGAGGAAGTATACAAGTTATCTTTTCTTGGATCGTGCTAAGCACGGGCCTCATACCTACCTAGTATATATATATATATATATATACTAGACATGTTAAGAGGCGATAATTATAAAATGAGAGACGAACATGATATGAAGATTCCCTTGAAGGGCAAAAAAGACAAATTTTATCTTATTGTTATAAAGAACCAACTTATGGGATAATCAAAGGTATAAACTATAAAGTAAAGGTGTATTTCGTTATTTCATTGCAATTAAAGGTGATCCTTTGACAAGCAAACACCTTGATAAACTAAGTGTTGGCACGTTGAAAAACGGATCTGGCACTAACCCACGTTTATAACGCCTTCGTTTCATCACACAATCGATACAACGTAATTGACTTACTTTCGTTTTAATTACTATTGGAAGGTATCAAGTCTCAATAAATTAGTATTTTAGAGCTCGAAACATAATTTTAAGTAAGAAGTGATGATTTAGCAAAGTACATTGCGATTTAGAGAAAATCAAATAAATTCAAGGATTTATAAACCATACTGATTTATATTGAATTAAAAGTGGAAGATAATTTATTTTTTAGTTGGCAATGATGTAAATTGATTAAAATATATGCCTATGTTGGAATCAAGAAAATTTGTCTTTTGATCTTTGTCTGGAAGAAGATCAACATGTAGACCGTTCACGTTTGATTTTGGATGATAGGAAGTGTTTATACAACTCACATTTAATATTTTTGGTTTTTTTTTTAACCGGCAAATCTAATCTACTCCTAAACTAACAACACTTATTTCACTTATGTCCACGACGGGACTTGAACCCTCGACCTCCAAGAGGGAATGCACCACTTGATAAAATAAAATAAATTTCCTACTCCATAAAGGTTTAGCAGTAATTTACCTTCCACATCCATGTAAAAATTATTGTTTATATTTATCCATTTTAAAAGCTAGAATCTAATAGCTTTTAAAAAACTCGTTGCCAACATTAGTATCAGGGCCGGTCCAAACGGTGGCTAATCCGGGTGACCGTCCAGGGCCCACGATTCCATGGGGCCCAAAGTTTATGGGCTATGTAGTGTGTGTATATATATATACACACACACACACACACTAGCCATCTACCCGCACAAAGCGGCGGGCGGCGAATAATTTGATCTCTTTAGAGATAAAACCATTTTGTGTTCACTTCAAAAAATGAATATTAAATGACATCTATTTTTCAAGAGCATTATCGTACCATATTAACGGGGTGTTTGGCTAAACTTTTTTTTTTAAACAACTTATTAGGTTCCACATCACTATAAGTTAGAAAAGTGTTTGGATTAAAATAACTTATTCCGGTGGGGAACCTCTAATACGTCATTTTTTCATAAGTTACCCTACACTTATTAACTTATAAGCTAATAAACTAATAAGCAATAAGCGTTTTTGCCAAACACCCCCTAAATGGTTATTACTTCCATTTATACATACTCAAACCACTTCTACTGTTTATCGTCCTCTTTTTTTTTCGTTTTCCTTAATTCCTTTATTAATTTAATGTCCTACTAAGTAAAATGCTAAAATATATAAATAATATTTTATAAAAATAAACCTTTGAAATATCAGGTGTTGTGATTCAAAAGTCGATAAATAGGCCTTTGAGAAGGCCAAAATACTCAGGTGTCAACTTGTTCATTGTGATTTTAAACCAAGTTTGGTCACAAATTAAAACATTTTCAACGATGGTATGTAATTCAAGGATTCATATTGATTTAGGTTCTCGAAAGCTTAAAATATTGAACAAAATCTATATAGAACCTGATAATAAGGACAATAATCACCGTAATCAGGAAGTTCATGTGATGAAACTTGATATTATAAGGACCAATGATGAAAAAAGTTTCATTTTTAGACTAAACAAGATGAAAAATATACAAACTACCTTAATCATGTCAACTCTTGTGTTTAACCGTTCTTTATTGCAACACTAAGATGCCAAAATATACAAACTAATGATAATACAATGCTCTAACTGGCCCTCTTGGTTGAGTTCTTTGAACCTGCAAAGCCAACACATTAAATAAACATAGTAAAAACCTTTTTAGGAACAAACCTGATATAACAAAGCCTTCACCCAATATATTTATAAGATAAAAATACAAAAAGTTAAAAATAATGAAATCAATTACAAGTAAGGATTAAAATAAAAACCTGATAAGAAAGAACCATCTGCAGGAGGGATATTTGAATTAACATTTATTTTCTGATGGTTTCAAATTTCGAATTATCCGAAATTTAGAAAAGGAAATAGAATTTGTTGAGAAATATAAGGATTCAAAACACAGGTTAAAATTTAATATTATTTTATTAATGATTACTTGTACTATTAGCTTAATGATTTGAACGTTTTAAAAAAATAATATTATTATATTCAATCTATATTTTAGAAATAGTG